TAATTAATTTTTAATATAATTATTAAATACAAAATTCTTAATTTTTAGTTGTACAGAACATCAAATTTACAATGTGTGTGTGTAGCTATAAAGCTATCAAAATATTTTACTTATCACACACATTATGTATATATATCTTGCATTTCCATGCATTATATTGTTGCTATTGAACACTTAGTAGAGAGTAATTCAATGATATGCTGTATATGCAGCGTAAAGAGTAATAATATTTATGAGAGATTAGATCGTATCTAAATCTCTATTGTAATTAAAATATCTGCCTTTCATGGTCACAAGCATTGATTATGCAAACATAATTAAGTAAAAAGTGCTATTTCTTCAATCTATAAAGAATCATATTTATGTTGTTTCTTTTCTCGTAGTAGATAACCAGTTTTACATTTGTATAATACTTTTATATACAAATGCATCTTTCACCGCCCGTATGGAAATACGTGTTTCTTATAAGAACTTTCGTTTTCATGCATATTTCATTGCCACGCATGCGGGAATACGTAATGATCTATATATTTCTTGAATAATCATTATTGACAAATTTTATTTATCCATTTACTACATTATGTGTGTGTGTGTGTATGTATATATGTATGCAAAAATTATTATACGACTTAAAGATTAGTCAAAAGATTAAATTGTTCAACAAATGCCCGCGTGAATTAAAAGAATTGATTTGATTGGTACCTCAGATTAGTCGTTATCAGACACCGATAAGAAACCAGCAATTACTTAATCTCTGGTTGGGAATCGTCGCAGTGCAATTATCGATAATGCATACGCTTAAGACCTCTATCGTGCGCTCCTTTCATAATACATGCGCCCCTCCCCTTATTAATACGGAAATTTATTCACATCGAGGGTGTAACGTTATTTCAGTCGTGGAGAGATTTCTGCGCACTAAAGTGCTCTATTTATTTTTTCGTTTCTAAATAAAACTGAGATGCGACACGTATTTGAAAAGCCGATCAATCAAAACACGGAAATCTGTCTCGTCAGTTACATAGATATATACATATAGATGATTCAATCAACAAAATGTTACATAATTATAAACTAAGATATAATAAAGTTGAGAATTTTTCTACATAAATTAAAAAAAAAATATTGATAAAATTTGTATTATTTTCTATTTAAATTTTGTTCTAGGTAATTAATATCCATTAAAACAGTAACAAAAACTAAAATAGTTTATTACCATTGACCATGAGATATTTATAAACAAAATGTACACGAAGTAATAATGACTCAATAAGTAATTAATATATAAAACAATATTTATGAATAATTTTACATATGAGAAAATGGATATATAAATATAATATTTATTTTAATTATTATATAGTAAAATATAAATTATCACGCGAAAATGCAAATATTACTTCAAAGCGTTAAAAGCATCATGCATAATAAGAAAGAACGCAATTATGTTAATTAAAATTGCAAACCAATGTAGTAATTATTTTCTCGAGTAAATATATTATTTATTGATATTTTAAAATGCACGTTGTATCACTATAAGTATTTTAAAATGCACATTATATTGCTACAAGTATTTTCAGATATGTATGCTTATATTTAAAATAATATACATTAAAATCGTAAAAACAATTAATTCTTAAATGACGTTTATTTAAACCATTTTAAATAAAGTCGATTTAAATAAGATATAAATAAACAAATAATAAAGACAAATTAATAAACCTTGCATTTATTGCACATATTTTTAAAACTTGGCTTACAATTCTTCCGCTAAACAGATTATATATTTTAATGGCATACTATAGTCATAATACTTGCAATTGAAACACGTGCAAGCTTTAAAGCAGGAAGTTTTGCTTTTTGATGAAACTATATTTGTGTCACATTTTTATTAATTTCTGAGAAGACAAACGTTCTGAGAGCGAACTAAGCACGACAATCCAGACTCGCTGCGACCTACCTTGAATTTAACCATGACACATGCGCATAAACCGCAGTCTCGGCACTATACACAAATTATCCGACACTACGAGATCTCCTTGCTCTTGACGCGCTCCGTCTACTTTTCGTCACCACACTTTAAAGGAAATCGCGTCTACTCCAACCTTGTCGTATGCAAATTAATAGTGGCTTTTCCTATCACACGTCGCGCACACCATACTGGCACTTGTCGGCCCGTAGCCTCTTTGACAGACGAGCGCCACGACTCGCCGGTACTAACACAAAAAATGTTCAGTCTTGTGTGAAGGCTCTGCTTATATAGACTCCGAGAGGGCTACGAGTCAGAGGAGTTGTCGACTGAGGTTGTCGGTTGTCGGGTGAATCGCGGAAAGGAGACCCGGGAAAAGGAGAGAGTGAGTCGCCTAAGGGTACCGAGAAAAGAGAGAGGGCATAAAAAGAGAGAGAGAGAGAGAGAGAGGGATATGACGGCGACACGAGGAAGATGAGAACGCGAAAAGAGGGAGCCCTCTTCACACAACGTTTAAAAATTCTCTTTGTAGAGAAAGTAGGCTAGCCCTGCCTCTGTCTCGCCGAAGAAGAAGATGCAGCGTGTATATCTCTCGGTCCCCAATGACTACAACGCGTTCGTCGCGTGAAACCGGTTGTAAATCCTTTTGCAGCAGACAAAAGGTACCTCGGAAGAATTGGTCAACCGAGTATCCCATCCTATGCTCACATTTGAGAACAAGAATCGACGTAAGTTATCGGCTGCGTATCTGTTGGTATCTGTCGGAGACCCCTCCCAAAAAAACGCAGTTTGCATAAAAACGCAAGTGAAACTTGCAGTAAACTTTCCATGTATCTCACAATCGCAATTCTATACATCTAACTTGCGTTGAAAAAACTGAAGACTGATAAATTTACACAGCATTTCTAATACTCATTGTTTATTTTTATTTCTATTCTTGTTTGTAAATATTTGTCGACATCTATCTTTAAAGGTTGACCAAGAATCCTTGATGCATCATTGGATCTCGAAGGAAGTACATCAAGAGTATTGCATTAGATGTACACACAAGAAATCTTATGCAATACGATGTAATAATTTGCACCATGGTAAATTGTAGATTGATGTAATCTTTAATCATACTCATTAACTATCGCAATGTGGTTGGAATGAATACGCGTAGTGATATCAAAAAGCGATATAGGAAAACAGCTTGTTCTTTTTTGATCAATAAAACCTGTCTTTCACCGGAAACATAATTATTGATTATATCTTCATAGAGTTAGTAAAAATGAAGGAAGATCATTAGTAATTATATGCTTCGAAATGAAAAGAGTTTGTCGGTAGCATAGTAAAATTAGTTTAAAGATCGTCGATGCGGCAGTAATTTACTGGTCTTGCTATTTGCGGTAAATATGAATCATTAATTAATTGCATAGTCAATAATTTTATTTCCTTTTTTTAGTTTATATAATCAGAAAAATAATTATACAAATTTAGAGATGTTACCGTATGTCCATTTTTTATAGCAACTTTAATGGCACATATATTTATTTTTTAATTAAATACATATTTTATTTGATGCATACAGAATGGTAGACTGTGCTTTGTAATTGACCTTCGATCGTTTGTACGAATCTCGGCCACTGTCAAGAGCGGGTGAAATTTAACCGGTATCACACTCGCGCGCGCACACACACACAATCTATTCAGTTTCTGCCATACACATCTGCACATAATTGTGCGGTCATATAATGGAAAATCCTGCGTAACCAATCTACCGGAATATCAAATGTCTAATTAATATTTAAATATATATATTCTCTCCATTTCTAATATTCAAATATATATTTTATAAATAACTTTTGTCAAGCATGAAAATTATAATTACAAAACATTAAATTGATATAATATCTGATAATTATTTGCTCAACTATTCTAACTGATAGAATTTTTTGAATATATTTGGTAAATTTCAAATCTATCCAAGTAAAAAAATTAATTGTAGAATTTTAATAGTTTATTTTTCTTTTTAAATTCATATATGATAACATAAATTTGAGATGACATATATATATACAATATTCTTGTATATTTATAATCTATTTAAAAAAAAATTTTTTTAAAGGACATATATATTTGAAATTTTAGATATTTTTAAATATAATAAAACAAAAATATCTCTCACCCACCCAACTAAAATTTTGTGTATTATTTTATAATTTATGTCAAATATTATTAAGATATCTTCAAACTTTTAATCGTCCGGAGTTTCATCTCTTGTAGAATAAAGATAGAAGAGAAAAAGAGAGAGGAAGATAGAGCAGCAATTTCCGTATGTGTGCATACCGGATGCAGTAACACATACATACGCCCGGCCCATTGAGATCCATTATGTTGTCATCAATAATTCAGCGGAAAAGTGCCGCCCCTCATGGTCTGGCTTTGCTTGTCTGTCGACGGAACCATCTACCGCTGACGCTGTTACTGCCGCAAAAATCTCGAAATAACGAGAGACCCCGCAAACAAAATTGTTTCATCCGAAAGTCTGCGCGGAACGGTATAAACGTAACTAGTTGCGCTCTAGAATTAATTGTCCAACGACACCGTCCATCGGAATTTTTTCAACTCCTCTTTATTCTCCGATCTCGACAAGTCGAATTTCCACTACATTGTTAAAGCGATCACCAATGTATCGTCATTATTGGGATTTATTCATATGTAAAATTTTCATATCTTTTTTGCGTTTAAACGCACATATACATTATATTAAATTTAATTTAAAATAATGTTATTATTGTAATATATATATAAATACTAATTTTATGTAAAAAACATATAAACTTATATATATAAAGAAACTTTTAATAAAATACATATAAAATATATATAAAAATACAAAATTTTATAATTGAATTTAGAATTTTACTACATCTCAGTAACAATAAATCTTCATAATGTTATTATAATACGACATACAATTACGATATAGTGATTTAGTAAATGTTTTAAAAACAATACATTTTTATAATACATAAATACAACCAGAAAACTGCAGCATGAATTGTAAACCGTTCTTGTTTCAAATCATGCGTGATATTAATATAAAGACCGATTCTATATTTTTATAGTATGTAACGAATCATGCAACAAATAATTAACCATGAAAGGGAAGCTATCAGGTACAGCAAGATCCATGGCCAAGGTGAATGCTCGACGGACATTAAAGTTTTAGGGTCACGTTGAGTGGAATGCGCGCAGGTGCGGCAACATCTCGTATCACCAGGTAGAACTTTCTTCTTTCTTTCGCTCGAGGTCAGCGTGGTGACATACGTTGAGAGAAATCAACAAATGAAGCGTTCCTTCAGAGGCGTACATTTCTAAACTATGAATATTTTTAGAATAACATCTTTTATACACACACACACATCACCCTTAGGTAATTTATGCAATGTATTAGAGGTAAAAGTATACTTTCTTCGTTACATGTGCGCCAATAGATATCGTCAACGAGGCATGTTAAAAAGAAAACTTTGAAACTCTTCTCTAATGATTTGACATAATTCATATTAATTAAACATATTAAAATTGCGCCTTTTTCATGTCAGAGGAGAACATCTATTCTTATTTATTCATACACACGCGTAAAGACATCGTTATAGAATATATTCAATTATACATTATTTTTTTGATATAATAAATAATCGTATAATAGATTTGCGCGCTCAATGCGTGCAAATTCACAATAAGATACATAGACTTCTCCAATGCAGTTTAAGTATTCCACAGTATCCCAATGTGCACTTTATATATTAAGGGTTAATAGCCATGGGCAAATGGCAATAGTATTGGAAAATCTACTAAGTGTCGATCTGTACGATTTATCAGCCCCAGTTGGCTTGTCACACCTGATCTCCTGCTAAATCGTCCACATATTCGGCAATCGGCATATACCACAGCTGGTTCGATTCACAACGAGCAACCAGAAGTGACTCAGTAAATTAACATTTGCTTGCTCATAAGCATCGTATAATACATAGTAAATTATAATAATAGAGTTATTATATTTTTTAGTCAGAATTTACACACAGATTTTTTTATAATAGAATTTATATTAAAAACTTTTCAGATATTATTCCTAAAAGATTGAACTTGATTAAAATAAAGTAATATGTACAAAATAATACATATTTTTATAATTTTATGTGTCGTCTGATAACAAAAGTGATTCTCTTTAAAACTTAATAATCGATATATTTCTCAAAAGAAAAGTGTGTTTCTTACTAACTCAAATAAGAATAATCTTCGCGCACTTCTTTGTAATAGATTTATTCAAATTTATTCAAGACATGAATGCACAACGAGCTTTCCTTTCAATCTACTGATGACTTTTTTTCCAATCGACGGACTAACTTGACAAACCTCACTTACATAATTAAGGATGCCTTTCAATGCAAAATGCTCGACTCTCCATTCTTATAGTATGTAGATGTTGTTTCATCAATGACACCTATTACATTGTGACAAACGTTTTCACTAATACATAGTAATCGTGACGAATCGACGCCAATCTTCTGCACGCATCTCCTCTGACGAAACTCGGTATTTATTCAAGCTACAAGGCATGTCCCAATATACATGTTATACCGACTAATTGCGCCAGTTATGTTTTCATCATCGTTATAAATGACATACCTTTATATCATCATGAATGTAATAAAAGTTACAATGATACATATAAATCTTGACATTAAAAAAAGACATTACCTTGAGATTTAGCACAATAATTATTTCCTGAGATTTATTGTACAATTTATTATTATTTTTTAAAATTGATTGAATCTTTCTTAAATTGTATTATAAAAAAAGAAATTATATATAGTTTTTTTCTCTCTCGCTATCTATCGTTTGTGCATATTTTCCTTTAATACTTTTTTAAATTTGATATTAAAACCAAAAATAATAGTTTAAAAACATATACTAAATCGCACTGAAACAAAAAAAAAATTTGATATAATCGTATAAATGCATGTAAAGCAAATATATAACTAAAAAATAAAATAGTCAGAAACTCATGATATAAATGAAAGCGTGTATGCGTATTATGAACGAATAGCGAATACGAAATAAAAGCAATC